GGAGAGGAGGCAGGTCCATAATCCCTTCTTTATTCAGTCTCAGAGAAGCTAAAGCATTTGCCTGAGGACTTGCTCAAGTTACATCCCCTTTCTGGCCTCAGTTTCCCCCTCTGTAAAATGGGGCAGCCATTTATTACTACATAGCCAGACCCCCCAGGAAGTTGGAGTATTCCCTACTTTCTCTTAGCTGGACTTCTAGACTCACAGCCCAGGGGTTCCTGGACCATCACTCACCACGTACTTGGAGGGTGGGTCCTTGACCACGGTGGCACTGGTCACCTCGAAGAGCAGCCGCTGGGGTACCAGGGTGTTTCGGGACTTCTTCCAGAAATCCTGCAACTGCCGTGCCAGGAGCTGACTGCCCCGCTGCGCATCAGGTTGGGGGCTCCGTTCTGCATGAGCACACGACCAGTCAGCCACATCAGTGGGCCAGGGGCCAGGGTCAACATAAACCACGTGCCATGACTTCGCTCGTCCTCCCAACAGGTGACAGAGGCTTTGTCACCATTTGACATAAATGGAAACTGAGGGCCAGAGAGGGGCCGGGTGCCAAACACCGTGCCTGGCAGACTGTAGGCGCTAAATAAACATCTCCGCCCAAAAACCCCTAGCACGTTATTACCACGTGTATACCAGACTCTCTACATTTAATGGCCCCAACAACCCTGAGGTGGGAGTGATTTTCCCCATTTGACACAAGGGAAAACTTGGCTCAGAGAGGTGTTGTGACTCTCTCAAGGTCACAAAGCCAAGAGGTGGCTGGGGCACTTAAGAAGTGTCGGAGTTTCGGCTGGATCAACTCAGAGCCCCCGAAGCTCTCGATGCTCTTGGGAACGCGGTTGGGTGGAGGCCTAATCGGGCCCAGGGTTCGCGCCTCCATCCTCCCGCACTCGCCTGCGTCTTCTCCCGACGCCCCGTCCCCGGGGAGCAGCGGGTCGGGGCCGACCTCCTCGTCTTCCTCTTCGTCCTCCTCATCTTCCTCGGCGCTGGTGAAGCTGAGGGTGCCGCTGAGCCGGGAGGACAGGCCCTCGGCGTCGTCGTCCTCCAGCTCCGAGCTCTCCGGGAACTGCTCGGCCTCGGGGCCGGCCGCCGCCTCCCCCGGGCCGTCGCCGGCCAGGGCGTGCCGCAGCCGGTGCAGGAGCCGCGAGGCCATGGCAGCCTAGGGGGAGCGCGACGCTGGGTCCCGGGCGGGGGCGGAGAAAGACCCCGGCCCAGCGCCGGGAGGAGCAGGGGCGGGGCCCAGGGCGGGGGAGGGAGGGGCGCAGCGGAGGCCCCGCCCCCGCCGGTTGGGGGTCTTGCGAGCCCGGGGATTCCGCAGGTGTGGCCTCCTCGCACCCACGCAGCTTAGGGCCGCGCTCTTCCCCGGAAGGGCCTGGGATCCTCCCCGCGTCTCTACCTCCTGCGCCTCGCCGTGCACTCAGGGGCGCGCCGCCCTCCAGGGGTCCCGGTGCAGCTCCCAGCAGACTACGACGGCCGGCCGGGCTCTGCCGGGCTCCGCAGGGCCCAGGCCGCTCCGAACGCCGCTCCGGCCGCTTCCTGCCGCCGCCCCGCCTCCGGCCCCGCCCGCTCCCGGAGCCGCCCGGGAATCCCGGGCCCTTGGCTCCAGGAGGGACTTGGGAATCCTGGGTAGGCCTGGATGAGCCCCAGGCCTCCTGCGGGGTCGTCCCCACTCCGGAGGGCCTCACAGCCTCCTTGAATCCTCCCACCCCTCCTGGCCCGGAGACCCAGGCTGGCCCCAATCTGTCCCCTTTTTCCACCCAGCACTCTTTAACTTTTCAGTCATTAAGTGACAGTAGGAAGCCGATCTCTCTGGTGAGGAAACTGAGGCCGGGAGAAGACGTGTGATCTGGGTTGGAATCTGACCTCGCTGGGCCTAGGTTTTCTCGTATGTAAAATAGGAACAATTAATATTAGTACTAACTTTGCCGCTCTGGTAAGGACCCTGGTCCAGTGCCTGGCACAGAGCAGGGGCTGACAAAATGATCAGTTACATAATGATTATTGTTTCTACAGTTTTCACAGGCTTTTACAATCTCATTTGAGCCTCATAAGAAGTAGGCACACATAGGATGTAGGCAAACGTTGAAACTGTAACCTAGAGAGGCTGAGTTACTTGCCCAAAGTCACAAAGCTTGCCAGAGGTTTCTGGCAGTGGGTCCTTGCAGCCCAGGTCTCCTGGGCTCTGCTGCCTGTTCTTTTCCCATGAAGCAGGCCTGTAATCTCAGCCACTCCTCTGGAGGGCTGTGCTTTATCTTCTATCTGGAGGGCAGCAGTAGGTCAAGAAGGATTTATTGTCGCTCTTTGTCAGAAGGCCTAGATATCAGTCCCTAGCTGGACAGATGTTGCTAGTTAACAAACAAAATCTCTCTGACATAGGTCCCACCCTTTTTGAATGGCACAGGAGAGGGGGTGGGGGGAAATAGCTTAGAATAGAAAACACACTTCCAGCCCCCCACCCCCACCCCCCCATGTACAGAAGGGGTGGGGCTCTCACTTCTTGAGGTTCCACTGTGTTCTGTATCCTGTTCCAGGCACTTTATGTGGGGTCACAACTCACCCTTACAGCATCCCTGGGAGGAAGGCATGATTAGGCAGTAATGGTCTGTTTTCAAGATGAAAAAACAGGCATATTGGCTTTCCCAAAATCCACAGCTGGGAAATAGGGGAGCTGGGATTTAAGGCCAAAAGTCTGTGTAATTTTAAAGCTCTAACTACTCTTCATTCAGCTTACTGGCTTCATTCGTTCACTCATTTATTCAACACTCACTCATTCACTCAAACATTGGCTGAATATTAACTCTGGCATATTCCTCACAAGTCTGGGCACAGAGCAGGTGTTCCTAAAACCATGGGTTGTTAGAGCAGGAGGTCACTCAGAAGTCTGGTCTCGAGCTTCCATTTTACAGATGGGTAGTCTGAGGCTCAGTGAGGGGAAGAGGCTTACCCTGGCTCATACAGACAGGGCCAGAACTAGGAGATGTCCTGATGTCTTGTCTCCACTACTCTTAGACTCTGTTTGGATATCTCCCTACAGCCTCCCTGAGAGATGGTCATCAAATTCCTGCTTGCATACATTCAGTGACAGGGAGCTCATTATCTTATAAGGCTGTCTATTCCCATTATTGTTCAACTGTGACTGTTAGGAAGTTCCTCTTTATATTGAACCAGGTGACATTCAGTTCAGTTATTCTTACAAAGAACACGATATTTTTGGACACTTGCTAGCTAAGTGCTGGGTTCTGTGGAATGCAGTAGTAAATAGGAAACGGTCTCTGGTCCGTGGAACTCAGAACAAGTCATGATCATGTGGCATGCTTAGTGCCATGGCTCAGGACACTGCTGGAGACCACCTCAGACTCCTTTGGCCTGGGTGTAGGGGAGAAGGGATCCTGGAGGAAGTGATGTTAAAGCTGAGAAAGATGATAGGGAATTAGGCAGGTGAAAAGGGGGAAGATGGGAGTGCCTGGAGGCTATCAAGGGTGGTGTTTGGAGCTGTATTTTAGTCTAACCAGAGCAGAGCAGCATACAAGGTGGGGAGGGAAGGGGAGTGAGATTGCAGAGGTCTGTGGCATCTTGCGCGGCCACACTGAGTTTGGACTTAAATGAAAGAACAGATTAATGAACAAATGATTGCTGAGACTTCCACACCCTCTGTTCCAAAGAGATCAAGTGGTTCCAATGTTTGTGTCCAAATTGGAATCCTCTGGGTGTCGCTGCCCCTTGGCCCTCTGCCTGGCTGGGGGAGGCCTTATTTAGCCTGGCCTGGCTCCACCGAGCTTTCCTTGAGAATGTCTATATATAGAGGAGGAGGGCAGCCCAGTTGCCACTGTCCATCTGCCTTCCTTGGTGTCCAGCCCCCTTTCGCTGGCCCCGGACTCTGTGCTCAGTCGTCTCGGTGCTCTTACTGTTGACTTAGCCAATGTCCATGAATGTTGCCTACCCCCTCAACACCCAGCCTGGACCCTGTGGATTCTCAGGCTGGGCTCCCTTTCAGACTTGACTTGATCTGCCCACCCCTTCACTCTCCAGGTGGCAGCTGAGCTCCTCCAGACTTCTCTAAGCTCTAACAGGGGGCCAGCTGCCCCTTCCTACTTAGAGAAGCTTCCCCTTGTCCCCCTCCCCCCAAAAAAGTGAATCCCAAACACCCTTTTCCTGGAGAAGGTAAGCTTGAGAGAGGAATCAGCTTTCAATGTTTATTTCTTCTCCAAATGCACCCTGTCTCCTGGACCCTGCCATATATTTCTCCTGAACAGGTCCCCGGAAGACTGTCTGTCTCAACTTCCCCTCAATCAAGATTAAAAAGAATCACCAACACGACTATAGATCTTTATGATTTACAAAGCTCCCCAGGAAAAAGGGAATGATGATAATGGTTGCTACCTCATAGGATGACCACTAGTTGAGGTCATGTGGTTAAAATGCTTAGCACAGTGTGTGGCACGTCGTAGAGGTTCAATAACTGTGGCTGTCACTTTCCCCTCCCCCTGTCCCCTGCCCCTTATCATAGTTCAAAGACAGGACATTCCACTTGCCAAACACCAAGCCTATGTAGCTAGGTGACTTATACCTGGGCTCTGCTGACCACAGTCTCTCTGTGAGGGAGGTTATGACTATCCCCATCTCACAGATAAGGAGACTGAAGCTCAGAGTGGCATTGCCACCTGCCCAAGGTTGCACAGCTTGCAGAGACAGGACTTGGATCTTGGGTTTCGGACTTCTAAGCTTGTGCTCTTCCCTTTCCACCATGCTGCCTCACTATTCTCTATTCTGATTGTCCTGACCCATCTTGGAGCAGTTATGCTTCCTGAGGGGGGGCTCGCTAAGGCGGTGGAGCGGGGCGGGTTCTCCTCACAAGAATCTAGGACGTCAAGGCCTGCCACCTGCTCAGAGGCTTCAATTTCTCTGCAAGGGCCCTTGGCTAAATTAGGTAATGGGCTAGGACTCTGGGAGGGGGGGCTTGCTGACCCCAGGATCCGATTGGCCACGGTATCCAGTCCTGGGGAGCATGGAGGTGGGGAGAGGGTGCTCCTACAAATCCCAGGGGCTGGAGCAGGCCAGAGCATCTTTGGGTGGTGGAGTGTGCAGAGGAGGTGACCTGCAGCAGAGGAGTCCCTGTGACTAGCAACCATGGTAAGGACAAGAAAGGGCTTCATTCCTTTGCGTGTTGAAATACTTCTGGGCCTCCTTCAGGCCAGATCTGGGTGCTCTGTGGGGCAGTAACTTGGATGTTTGGAGATGCAGCATGAAGATTCCTGGAACCCAGGTGGCTAGGAGGAAGTCTGGGAAGAAGGCCTTGGACTTCTCTTGGAAGGGGAGGGCCAGGATGTTCCAGGGATTGATGCTCAAGGCTTGCCGATTCCCTGTAGACCTTCTGGGACTTCCGGCAATGTCGGTCATAGAACTGTGAGGGGGTCTTAGCTTGTGTCTGCCTTAGCTTGGTAGAGATGGGGACCTTAGGGCCAGACTGAGTCGCCCAGCAAACCAGTGGCAGGGATGGGCCAGAAGCCTGGCCAAACCTTCCTACTGCCAGTGAGAGAAAAATGGCTCCTCTGGAAGATAGGAGGCCTGCAGAGCCTCAAGCCAGCTTGGGTGCAGGACCCCAAGGGTTCCGAGGGTGATGAGAAGGGGCAGAAGATGAGAGACCAGAGTTAGAGAGTCCCCAGCCTCCCAGAGAGGGGTTCTGATTTGGGGCTGTCATTTTCCTCTGAGATCCCCTTCCTATTTCACTTCAAGGAGTAACTAGACCCCAGAGGCCAGCTGCTGTTGCCCATGCCGGACTAAAAATAGCCTGCCCTCCTGGCACAGCAAGGAGGAGGGGAGGAGGGCATGAAGGGAGGAGGGAGGGGACAAGGAGGAGGCCCAGTGGCCAGCTGGCTGAAGAACCCCTTGGACACCTCAGCCCTTCCTCCCCGCTGGCCACCTACCCACATAGCTTGGCTTGGATGTGACCCAGAAACTCCTATAGAAATCTTATTTTCATCCCCACAAGGCCTCCATCATGTTCTGCCCGGCATGAGTGGTATTTACTCCAATGACTGAATCATTAGAAGGAAGCTTAGGGCCGGCCCTGTGGCTTGGTGGTTAAGTGCGCACGCTGCGATGCTGGTGGCCCGGGTTCGGATCCCGGGTGCGCATTGAGGCACCACTTCTCCGTTCATCCTGAGGCCGAGTCCCACATACAGCGACTAGAAGGATGTGCATCTATGACACACAACTATCCACTGGGGCTTTGGGGGGAAAAAATAAAATAAACAAAATCTTTAAAAAAAAAAAGGAAAGAAGAATCCCTTTAAAAAAAAAAAAAAAAGAAGGAAGCTTAAAATCTCCATCTCTGCAAGTTCTTGAGAGGGGAGGGATGATGTCTGACTCTTCTTGGTTGTCCCAGTGCTCAGCCTATAGCCTGACACTTAGTAGGTGCGCATTTGTAGGTGTGTTGCATTATCATTTATTTTGAGAACAAACATTTATTGAGCACCTATTAAAGGAGCACCATCAAGAGCTCGGGAAAACTGGAAAATCACACTGGAATGGGTGCTGGCACTTTACAGAACCTTTTCACACCCCTGATTTCCTCTCATCCCTGAAAAGCTGTTGCTAAGAGATGAGGGTACCTTAAATGACTTGCCCAAGGTTACTGGGGCTTCCTGACCTGACGTCCGATTGACAAGAGAGAAGGTCTTGGGCACAGCCTGTGTTTCCTCCCTAGTTCTTCAAAACTGGGGTTGGGTGCTGTGGGGCACGCAGAAGGTGTGGCAAGCTTGGAGTGGTTCTTCCGGAGGACCACAGGGCACTTCCAGAGGTGGGGGTTGAGGAGAATGGGGTTAAGGTAAGAATGCTCTAGGGCTGCCCCTTCTGCTCTCTGACTCTGTGTCTTCTGCAGACGGACCAGCAGGCTGAGGCCCGGTCCTACCTCAGCGAGGAGATGATCGCTGGTGAGTGGGGCAGGAGGGCTGGCTGGCTGTTGGGCAGGTGTGTGCTGGGGAATGTTTGGGGTCTGGGCAGGGTGGGAGGGTAGATGTGAGGCTGTCAGTCAGCCAGGCTCACCTCAGCCCTCTGCCCTCTTTTCCCTTGCAGAGTTCAAGGCCGCCTTTGACATGTTTGACGCTGATGGTGGTGGGGACATCAGCGTCAAGGAGTTGGGCACGGTGATGAGGATGCTGGGCCAGACACCCACCAAAGAGGAGTTGGACGCCATCATCGAGGAGGTGGATGAGGATGGTGAGTGGGTAGCTCTTGAGGCAGGGGTGTGATGGTGGTGGGGAGGGGCTGCCATCCAGGGCTCAGGCTAACTCACCACGGCTCCCCTCAGGCAGCGGCACCATCGACTTCGAGGAGTTCTTGGTCATGATGGTGCGCCAGATGAAAGAGGACGCAAAGGGGAAGAGCGAGGAGGAGCTGGCCGAGTGTTTCCGCATCTTCGACAGGTGCACAGGGTGCCTGGGAGCCAGGGAAGGCCGGCAGGGCACGAATGTTCTCGGGGTGGGGGTGCGCGAGGGGGCGTTGAGCGTGGCCAGAGCGGCTCGCCCCGGCCTGCCCTGAGCCCTATCCTGTGCCTCCGCCCCGAAGGAACGCAGACGGCTACATCGACGCCGAGGAGCTGGCTGAGATCTTCAGGGCCTCTGGGGAGCACGTGACAGACGAGGAGCTCGAATCCCTGATGAAGGACGGGGACAAGAACAACGACGGCCGCATCGACTTCGACGGTGAGCGCCGCGGGAGCGTGGGGAGCGGGGGACCGAGCCACGCGGGCGCGCCCGGGGCCTGGCACTCGTGCCGCCCGCACCCACGCCGCGGTCCTTTGCCTTGCGGGCGGGGCTGGGAGCTCCGGGCGGTTTTGTGTAATTTATCAGTTAAAGACAGGGCCCCCCCTCCGCGTGGCTGGAGCCCGGGCCAGGCCTCACTCGCCCGACACTGCGCCCCTGGCACAGGCCAGGCCTCCCCGTCCGTCCCGAGGGGGCCCCCTGACCGCCTCTCCCTCTCCCTCCCCGCAGAGTTCCTGAAGATGATGGAGGGCGTGCAGTAAGAAGTTGGCCCTCGCCTCCGCCAGACCGCGTGTCCCTCGGGCGTGGGCGGCGCCGCCCCGCCTGGTCCGATTCCCCGCCTGGGAGGGAGGCGCGACCCCTTCTGGGTCTGTAGTTAGAAGGAATAAAAGCAAACATTGCAAAGCGCCTAGCCTGAGTGAGGGGAACACCGAGGGAGCCGGTCTCAGGGGCCGCCTGGCTGAGCCACCGTTCAGGGCGACCCCGAGCGCCTCCCGGCCTCCGAGGAAAGGCGACCCGAGCAGCGGGATGCGAAAGGGCGCCGGGTCCCGGGAGCCGGAGCCCGCGGCCACTAAGTGCCAGGCGGCGCGCGACGCTCTCGGCATGTTCGCGGTGGGCTACCGGCGGCTGGCGCTGGGCGTGGGCAGCTCGGCCGACGGGCTGCGGCGGCGCCTGGCGCTGGAGGAGGAAGGTCGCAGGGGTTTCGAGCTGAGTTAGGGTGAGCGGCGGCCCGCGGAGGGTGCCCGGGACGGCTGGTAGGGCGAGGGCGCCGCGAGAGGCTGGAACCCGGGGGAAGTGGGAGTGAGGCCCCTTCCCGTCCCCACGGTCCTTCCTTTCTGGAGCCTTTAGGTCTTGTCTGCAGGCTGCCCGGCTGAGGGTGGAAGGAGTGGGTGTCCATCCGTCCCAGGCAGTATTACTCCTGCTTGACCTTTTCTACTTGGTCTGTTTTTCTGAGCACTTACAGGTGCTCCGTACTGGCGATGGTGGGGGAGGGTGGGGGCACACAGGCACAAAGGAGGTTCTGACCTCACTGACCTGGGATCAATGCCTGGTCACCCTGCCTTCGGCCCCCTGCAGTGCGCTCAACAGAGGGCCACCAGCATAATCTAGCTAAACGGAAATCTGACCTCGCCACTCCCCTGTTGAAAGTCCTTCAAGGCTCCCTACTGCTTCTAGAATCGAATCCAAATTCCTTTCCCTCCCTTCCTCACTCGCTTCCCACAGCCACCCCTCCCCTCCAGCCACACTGAGCAATTTATCATTCCTGCTATTTATGTTGGGTGCACTTTCAAGCCTTTGGGCCTTTGCACATGCTGTTCTCCCTCCTTGGAATGCCCTTCCTCTTCTTATAAGCCTGGCAAATTCTTCAACCCAGCTCAGATAACATCTCTAAGATTCCAGGACCCAGCTTAGATACCATCGTCTCCTCCTGTGATCTCTGCCCCCACTGGCTGTGCTCCAGCTCCCATGGCTCTTTGTACACACCTCAGTTACAGCAGGTGTCGGGTCAAAGCTAACTAAGTGCAGCTGTGGTTTACCTTCAGAGTCAGGCTCCCGAGTTTGAATCCTCACTGCCAGTGACAAACCACTCTGGGTTTCAGTTTCCTAATCTGTAAAATGGGGATGGTGATAGTACTCACCTCACAGGGTTGTGAGGAGGAGTTAATGTGTGCAAAGTGCTTAGAACATTAGTGCTTAGAACAAAGTGCTTAGAAGGAGTTAATGTGTGCAAAGTGCTGGGCACAGTCAGCATTTAATAGATGCTATCAATATCATTATCATCGTCTTGAAACATTGAACTCTACTGTTCCTCACTGGGACAGCCGTCCCTCTCAAATGTCTTCATGTTCTCTTTTCCTCTCCTTGTCCCGTTCGTGTTTCCCAGATTGTATTTCCAGCCAGGATCAGTGCTGGAGTTTAGTAATCATCGCTATTGAGTGCCTGCTGTGTGCTGGGCCCTATGCCCTGCAGGTATTCGTAGAGGCAGATGCTGTCCTTATCTCCATTTTACAGTTGAGGACGTGAAGGTATAGTGAGGTGAAGTGCCCAGGCACACGATGACAACCTAGATGATATTGCTTTGTGGTGGAGACAGGAGCAAGGCTCTTAACCATGAAACCATCCACCTGTTGACAGTTCTACCTGGACGTCCTGAGTGCTTCAAACTAGCTCTGCCCTAAACTGATAACTCCCCTCCCCTCCATCTTTGTTCTCCTGTGTACTTATCTCAGAGATGGTACCCTGAGGGACGGGGCCCAAGTCAGGAATTCTGGGGCTCATTTTCCGACTCTAATTTACTACCATGCCCTGCTGCTTTCTTCCCATCTCCTTACCATTTCATCCCTCCTCTCCGTGCCCACTCAGGGTCATAACTCAGGCCACCACATTGCTCACCAGGCTGTTGATAACAGTAGTTAACCTCCTCCTCGCACACCTGGGTGCTGTTTGTCCACCTTGGAGGTCTTCCTGCAGGACCTGAGCCGAGCCCATCACCTCAGCCTGCTCTTCCCCCAGCTGGGACCCAGTTGGTCAGCACAGGGGTTTCTTCCCAGGGGCCCAAAGGTCGGGGCCAGTGGAAAGATGGCTTCAGGGGCTGGGGGCCTGGGCCAGTGGGTGCAGCGACTGGAGGCACTGCTGGTGGAGATGGAGCAGGTGAATGCGCCCCCTTGGAGTGTGGAGCCATCTGTGGGGGACCTGGGATGAGGGGCGAGTTGAGAGCTCAGTCCTGAGGGCTCCGACAAGGAAGGGGCTTTCCTGTTGTCTCCCCAGACCCTGGGCCTATGCAGGGTGACCTGTGCCTTCTTTGTCCTCCTTCAGGGCCAGAACATCTACTGTCAGAAGGGTGGCTGGTCCTCCCCTCCCAACCTCCTCCAACACACACACACACACACCCTTTCCACAGCAATAGTGGTTTCAGCCTAGGGTCTGGTTCAGCCTCATCTGCAACACAGCTGGGGCAGCTCCAATATTCACTAACATTCCTGGTGCATGTCACAACTCCACAGAAACAGGCATTATTGTCACACCCATCTTACGGACAAGGAAACAGATGCAGAGTCATAAAATAAGTAAGGTCACAAGGGAACAAATCCTAGTCACCCCACTGGCTTGGCCCTACAGCCTATCAGCTGCTTCTACTCCCTGGAGACAGCAGGGCAAGAGCCCAGATGCTAAGCCTGACCTCTGCCCACCCTGAGCACTTCCAACCCTAGGGTAACTACAAGGCGGCAATTTGTAAAAACAAAAACAAAAACAAAATGTATTTATTTAATATATTCATCACGAGGGCTCGACCAGAGACTTAACTTAAAAAACAGAAACAAAACAAAAATGACACCACAGCTTAAGATACAGAGTCCTATGAGAAATCAAGGAAAGCACAGACAGACCATCTACGGAAAAAATAAAAAGACAGCACAAGGAGAGGCTGGGCAGCCTGGGTCAGGGCTCTTGGCTGGAGACCTGCTTTGAGTAGGTTTCTTGCAGGTACTTCTTAAAGGCTGGAAGAGAACAGGCAGGTCTTGGTGAGCGATGGGGACAGGAGTTAAGGTGGGCAAGAGGGCAGCTTGACCAGGGATGCACAGGTGGGGGGAATCTGAGGGGTGTTCCCAGCACAACAGATTCCCCCTCTGCTGCCCACTTGGTCAGGTCTCCTGGATGGGCCCTGCTGCCAGTGAGACTGGGGAGACTTAGTAGCAAGTCATTTGCACAAGGCTGCCTTCTGCTTAAAAAGCCCCTCAACCTACCTTAATGTTTTCCACATTAGGGATAATTTTCTGATTTTATAGCACACAGGCAAACCAGAATCACCAGGGCAGAGGAAGAACTGGGTTATGTGGCTTGACACCCAACCCCGAGCCCCCTCCAGACCCAATCCTCAGGACACATTCCCAAGTCACTGGAATCCTTTTGTTTGAGGGAGCCTTTGAAGACTGGGGAGGGATCACCCTGTGCCCGAGAAGGACAAAGGACCCACCTGTGGGGTTTTTCCAGAGCTCAGCAGCATGTGTGTTCAAAGGGCTATCAATGTTGGGTTCTGTGGGTGGGGAGAAAAAGAGAATGGTCAGGGGGTAGAAGAGGCTGGCCCCGGGAGTCCTGACAGGTTCCTAGGTTGCAGGGGAGGGGCTGGTCTCAGAAGTCACCTCCTAGCAGGCTCTGGATGGAGAGCAGGATGGTCCTGACGTCATACAGGGCAGACCACTTGTCCTTCAGGATGTCCAGGCAGATGTTACCCTGGGTGTCCACGTTGGGGTGGTAGCAGGGTGTGAGGAACTTCACGGTGGGCGCGTTGTAAGGGTAGCCACTGGGGAACTCCAGGGAGAGCTTATACCTCAGGTCTTCGTATACCTGGCGGTGGGGAAGTAGAGGCGGGGAGTAAGCTTCCCCACCCTGAGGCTCATATCCCAACCCAAGCCCACATAAGGGGCTTGGCCAGGACCTTGAAGTTTGTCTGGGACTTGACAGAAGACAAAGTCTTACACTGGTTCTGGTGCTTTCTCTCTTATCTGGGGGACATCAGTGATCCCTGGTCTAAGGTTGTAAATTAGCATCCTGAGGGCTACCACAGCTGTGCTTTAGTCCAGTTAGATCATTAGTTGCTAACATGTAAAAATTAGGAGACGTAGATCTAGATTTCTGACTCATCTTAAACCAGATGTGCAGCAATGGGAAGCTGCCATCTTGAGACTTGTGCCCCACCATTGGCCAAAGTCCTCACTGGTCTTCCATTCTTTTCCGTGCTGTCTGGCCCCCTCTATGCATCTAAGATGGAGAGCCCTGCTTTAAATCCACCTTCTTACTGTACAGAGGGAGAGACCAGGGCCACTGGCTCAGAGCAGGAGAACAGACGCAGGGGAGCGTCCTGCCAGGCTAAAGACAGAAGCAGATCTAGCGCTTGGATCTCACCTCCTACCTCTCCCCAGACCCAGCAAAGTTACCAACACTACACTTACTGTGCCAGCTGCTCCATGGATGGTCCCCACCCATTTGAAAAGGTTGTCTGATTCAGGGAAGGCAGAAATTCCTTTGTCGCCAGACATCTGGGGAGGAAACACAACACCTGCTGGGCTGCAGAGTACACTTTGGAGAACAGCAATGGGGGTCAGTGGGTGAACCCCTTCCCCTTAATCTCATCACTTTTTGATTCAAAATAAAGCAACCAGACCAAATTGGTAGGCTTCTCTGAGGATGTGGTTAGACTCTTGGGGCTGTACATGTGCCTCTGGGGGGGAGTACTGGGATCATGTACCCATAATCTTGTTGGTTGCTGGGAATTCAATTCAGCATGCTATTGAGTGCCCGTTATGTACAAAGCCCAGACACTATTCACAGACTAGAGAGATATACAATATGGGCATTCAACTTGAGTTGAATATTCAGGGTTAATGTAGAAAAGGTCATCTAGGAAGGAATCATTCCAAGATATGACAGGACTAGAAATACTAAGAAGGGTGGAGAGTTGGGTGTGGGTAAATCTTAGGGCAGGGAAGTAGGGCCAGGGCAGGACAGGGGGGAGGCCTGTATGGCTTCTGGGAACTGTATTGGAGAAAACTTCACTGTGGGGGCATGGGATTGGGAGTAGAGGCTGCTGGAAGAAAAGGTGTAGGTGAGGTATATTAACTTCAACCCAGAAAAGAGCAAACTGGACTCATCTTTTTACCCCCATGTCTGGCAAAGAGCCTGACGTAGGAAAGGAGGCTACTGATAAGTGAGTGGAAGGTGGGAGGGTGGACCAACTACTTGGGGATCTGGGCAGGTAGTCACTCACCATGAGAGTCATCAGCTCCTGCTGTAGCCTGCAAAAAGAGCATTTGGGGTCACCTGGGAGTCTGGATGGGCCAAGGCTTCGGGGGATGCATCTCCTCCCACCCCAGTCTCTCTGGAGCAGTTGTCATGGGGACATTTCTCTACCCTGAGAGGTCAGATTCAGCTGGGGACTCCTCATCGCCATTTCCATAGGAGGATTTTATTGAGTCCTCACCCTCCCTGATTCCAGGCTCCCGCCGGACGGTTCTGGCGTGTTGTTAACCCCTACTGCTCCTCTGGCGTCTGTCTCCGTGCCGGATCTCAATTTTCCCTCTCCTCTGCCCCCCGCCAAGCCACCGAGGGTCCCCGGCGCATCTTCATGTTGGCTCACCCGAGGAGGATCCTGGCAGCATGACTACCCCTTCCGTCCTCCTTGGCAGGGTCTCTAAGAGCGGCCCAAGCGCTTGGCGTGTCCCCCCACCTCCCAGATCTCACCCGCTCCAGGAGGAGGTGGGGGTCCCGGAAGTCTTCGCTCTGGGCCCCACTGCTCAGGTCGTGCCAGGCCCGGAGGCTGTGACCCCTGCATCACTCACCTTTTGCCCACGGGGCCACGGGCGGCGCCCCCACTGGGCTCGGCTCCTTTACGGGCGGCGGCGACGCTGGCGGCGGCGGGGTCGCGGTTCTGGGAGGCCATCCGCGCGGCGCTGGCGGGGAGACAGGAACTCGGAGAACACCGCTGCAACTGCAGGGCTGCGGACCCGGTCGCCCGCGTTTGAATTGTAACTCTCCGGCAGCGCGGGCCAATCAGCGGCCGCTTGGGTTTGATCCAGCCAATGGGGCGCGCCGCAGCGCTCTGTCACCGCGCAACTGCTAGACCCACCCACCCACCGGTGCATCACTATTGGACGGCGGAATCTTGCTTCTGAGGGGCGATTGGCAGATGAGGCCGCCATTAACTAATACGTCTGTAGCGGATTGGTGGCCTTTGGAAAACGCCGACCATTAAAGGGCCAAGAAAAAGTCCACGTGGGATGAGCCCCTTTAGGTCAAACGCCTCAGAACTGCCGGGAACACGAGGCACGCCCAGACAGGATACCTACTCGCAAGGGAATCGCCCAGCACTGGTACCCTTTCCTCAAACCGGAAACCCCGGCTCCCCCCCCCCCCCCCCGTTATAAGATCTTGAACATCTTTATTAGGGCCCTAAGTGTCTGAAAATTCATGCGAGGGGAAAAACTAGAGGCTGATGGCCAGAGCGGGAGACTCCCTATTAGAAAACAGGTCCATGTGCTGCCTCTCCAACGGTTTGCTGTTGCCTTAGGAACATCATTTAGTGTTTTAACCTGTAAAATGGGGGTAATAAAAGCCTCTCCACATTTTTCATATGGTCTGTCATCAACCCCCTATGGTGCCAGCACACACATTCTGCTACTTCCATACCTTAGTTGGGTATGGAAGGAAATGAGAAAGAGGGACAGGGAAGGTTGGCAAGGTACATGGTGTTCCCACCTTTGTCTCATGAAGCAGTTGTGCACGGGGCAGAGGGACTTTCCTGGGTCTACCCTGGGATGGGAGAGGGGCACATGGTCCTGGTTTCCTATAGCCACCTCTTCTAGAGCCCTTGATGTTTTGTCAGCCCCTACAAGGCAGACGGCACAGCAGCCTCACCATCTGTGTTTATTACAAACTCTTTAATTGCTTCCTATCCCAATAACTTTACAAACGTAGAACTACATGCCAGTCTGGGAGCGCTCTGCAGTGAGTCACTACAAACTAGCCCAGGCACAGCTTAATGCTGCTGAGATCCATCCCAGTGGTGGCCTCAGCCACGTGGGTAAGAGGGCTTCAGAGGAAGGCTGCCAAATGTAGCCAGGGGACATGGCTTCAGGTCTGTGGAGGTGCTTCAACAGCACGATGCTCATTCTCTGTCCGTAGTGTCTCCATGTACTTTCGCATCTTCTCAACCATCCAGGAGGGTAGGACAAAGGATTTCAGCTCCTCTAACTTTAGGTCCAAACATCCTCTGGAACAGAAACGAGGAAGAAAGTTGCAGCAAAGGAGGATATAGGCCCAGGCTCATCCCAGGGACTACCGTGAGGCAGGGGGAAAGGTAGCAGACAGATCACTGGTTTTACCTGTAGTCATCGCTGGCAGCGAGGTCCCGGATGTCCTCCTCAATGAGGAGGTAGGCCTGGGGCAGGAGCAAAGGAGAGTAGTCATTGCCTGTGATTCATTTCAGTTCAACTTAATAACATTTTATTAAACATCTGCTTACTCTAAGGGCTGGAAGGGAGGTGGGCATAGTTACAATTTAGTAGGGGAGAGTTAGTAGGGAGACTGTGGAATTGTTCCGTGAGACAATCTTTCACTCAAATAGAAACTTTATTGGTGGGGGAGTGGGGACTGGTGACTAAATTATTTACAGCCTCCTCCTCTTCTGAAAAAGGACCCTGAAGTGGCTTAAAATAAAATGGCAAGAGAGCTAGCAAAATATACATGGAAACAGGAAATCAGGAGGAGGAAGCCATATGTTAACTCTAGGCGCTAAGATGATTTGGTTTTGAACTTTGTGGCAAAAGGGAAAACGTGATAAACTGCATGGCTGTCTACTAACTAGGCTGTATTGCCTGGGGTCTGCAGAATGGCTTTGACACAATGCCATGATCTGCAGTGGGAGAGAGCCCTCTTGTGAGCTTACCATACGGGGGATGTTGTTCCTCACATGAGCAAGTCTTCTGTGGGAGACACTTCTGTCTAGTTTTAGGGTCAGGAATAATTGTGTGTCCCTTGAGTAATCTGACTGTCTTCATCTTATGGGCATTGTGAACTATGTAACAGATCAGGTGTCCCTGAGAGGGTCCTGTAGCTGAATTTGTGTGAACCCATAGAAGTACACTCGTCTCCCAGGTCAGCAATTAGAAAAACACTTTTTTAAAACTAGTCTTGTTTGTGGCTTAATTTTAGATCCTGCCTTTCCTTTTTCCCCCTATTTCTTATTTATATTATGTTGTATTTTCTGTATCAATGGTAAGTTCCCTGAAATCTTTTTTCAAACAAAGAGTGTAGGCATAAGTAGAGTAGTAAAATAAAAGATAGCTTTCCCTGCCAGAAAGGAGAGGGCATACTGGTTTGCAAGGCCACTGAATTTTTAACAGTCCCAGCGGTGGCACTAAGTTGAGTCCTCAGGTGGGGGACACCGCATGTGATGGACAAAGCCCTCCACAACAGTTTTAGAACACATGCAACAATGATTTTCCTAGGGTTGTTGCTTGATATGAGCGGAGAACTCTTTAAGTAGAGGTGATTCTGGAAGGAGCTGCCAAATGTGGCAAACAAGTTTCATTGCATGTATTAACCCCTACGGATGAGGGGTGCCGCCTGGAGTACCGTGTTGAGAAAAGACTCTATAGCTGTGTCTGGTGAAAGAGTGTTATGACCTATGAGTGAAATCTGTTAATGGCACACAAGAGAAAAGTAGTGTTAAGTGTGTTTTGTACCTGTCATTCTTATGCAAAGCTAATACAATCTAAATATGAGGGATGACGTGGTAGGGCGAGGGGGTGCTGTGTGGGAGACCTAGGGACAGGGAAGGGAATCTAGGGATTACAGCCTGCTCTTCAGCATGAAGGAATGGGCCCTCTCTAACCATACAAGTCTCCCTTTCCACATTCATCTTGGAGAGCTTTGAGAGTCTCTCAGATTTGGAGGTAAGCTGCCACCAATAGCCAGAACCCTGGTCCCTGGGCTGGATGGGTCTTTGGCAGTGGCACGTGCAAACAATGCTTACCATCTTCCCCCCTGTTGCCCGCATGTGATGCTGCTCAGCCAGCCAGTGCTTGTCCTGGGGGTCAGCTGCATACTGTGAGGGATGAAGTCACAGACAGGCATTAGTTTGGAGCAAGGGGCTTTTCTCATTTGGTCCCAGAGCATACTCTTGGCCCTTGAGCAGTTCTGACCAACAAGACCTTGTCCTAGCCTGGTGGCTGTAGAGGGCTCACCAACCTCTTCAGAGCTAGTGGAGCCGAGCCCAAGAGGCCAGGGTATGGGACCCAATTCCCAGAGGTTTAGTACACCTCTAATCCCCACCCCCTTCTTTTCTCGAAACACAGCATCTCTGGCAACTGGTCAGACTGGTGACTCTTATTTTAGAGCTCTACCCCTCTTTGAAATAATGGTCTGAGGTAGCTTACAACACATGTGATTATTATAGTGACCGTATTTTCTAAAACAAAAATCAGGACACTTCATGATCTGGGGGGATGTGGTATAGCATCACGGTTAAGAACCTGGTTTTGGAATTAGACAAACAAGGTTTAAATTCTGGTTTCTGCCACTTATTTTATTTTTTTGTGAGGAAGATCAGCCCTGAGCTAATATCTGCCAACCCTCCTCTTTTTGCTGAGGAAGACTGGCCCTGGGCTAATATCCGTGCCCATCTTCCTCCACTTTATATGGGACGCCGCCACAGCATGGCTTGACAAGCAGTGTGTCGGTGTGCGCCCGGGATCCGAACCTGCGAACCCTGGGCCGCCGGGCTGCCACAGCGGAGCGTGCGCGCTTAACCGCTTGTGCCACTGGGCCGGCCCCCTCTGCCACTTATTGACGGTGTAAACCTGGGCAATAATTTCCTTGAGACTCAGTTTCTTCATTTGTAAAACAGAAAGGATTAATACTTATCTTACAGGGTTGTTGTTAAAAATAAATGAGATAGTGGTTAAAAAGTGCTAAATATAGTATCTGACACATAATAAGTGCTTAATAAAGGTAGGTTTTATAAAATAGGCCGAGTTGGGAAATCTGGGCTATACGGTTACTACTCTTTGAGTTTAAATAATCATTTTACTTCCCAAGTAATATAAGTATCAGTCAAAGTTTTAAAATTTCTGATCCACCAATCCCATTTCCAGGGATTTATCCTTTAGAATCACTCAAACACAAGATGTTTGGTGCAGCACTGTTTATAATAGCAAACCTGTTGGAAAAAACTTAAATATCCATTAATAGGGGAGCGATGAAATAAATTATGGAATATCTCTTGTATGAATTCTATATAGCTGTTAAACATAAAATGAGGGAGACAATTTAATTTAATAACATGGACAAATCTCAAGGATATATATATATTTTTTATAATTTTATTTATTTATTTTTCACCCAAAGCCCCAGTAGATAGTTGTATGTCACAGTTGCACATCCTTCTAGTTGCTGTATGTGGGATGTGGCCTCAGCATGGCCGGAGAAGCAGTGCGTCGGTGCGTGCCCGGGATCCGAACCCGGGCCGCCAGCAGCGGAGTGCGAGCACTTAACCGCTAAGCCACGGGGCCGGCCCTCAAGGATATTATGCACTAGATTTATAGTGGTCAGCACACTTTTTCTGTAAAGGGCCAGTTAGTAAATATTTTAGGCTTTTCCGGCCACACACATCTCTGTCACATATTTTTCTTTCTTTTTTTTTTTACATCACCCTTTAAAAATGTAAAAACCCTCAGTTGGACAAAAATAGGCTGCAGGTTGGATTTGGCCTAGAGGCCACAGTTTGCCCTGCAGTACAAGTAAGCTCCGTGACGACACGGAGTTTGTGTGTCTGCTTTGTTCACTCCTTTATCTCTAGCACTTTGAGGAGGCTCAGCACTCGATAAATATTTGTTCAATGAATGAATGAAGTTTGGGTGAAAAAAATAAAATCAGAGAACAATATATATAGTATGATCTCAGTAACATAAAATATCACTAAAGGACAAAGGATGGACACACACACACAAGTGCATAGGGAGGGGACTGACGGATGCCACCACTGTTGTCGTTGGTGACCTCTAGGGGAGGAGAGTCAGGGTCAAGGGTGAAGGGGAACTTTGTTTTGTTCCCTATTGGCTTCTGTGTATTGTTTGAATTTTTTTACAAGAATGAGTTTATATATGATTTCTATAATTAAAAAAAGATAAAAAGGAAAATAAAAATTTGAATAATGCCTTTTGAATGACAGAAAAATGGGCAAAAGATATAACAGGCACTTTACAGAAGAAATACAGATAGATTCTGAATGAATGAAATGATGCTTATCCTCACCAATAGAGAATTAAAAGCAAAGTAAAACAACAAAAACATTTTCCCTCCACTTATCAGACTGGAAAGATTAAAATGAGAGATAATATCCAGTGGTAATGAGAGTGCGGGTTGCGGGTTTATTACAAACGGTGGGTCTAGAATTGGGCAAGTCTGCTGGTAATAGTGACGAACGTTTACCGAGCCCGTGCCATGTGCCAGGCATTGTGCTGGGTGCTTCACTGCACTCTCTCGTAATTCTGCCAACCCTAAGTGATTGGTCTGTATCATCTCCATTTTATAGATGACAAAACAAGCTCAGAAATATGGAGCCACTTGCCCAAGGTCATGGATAGGTCATGGAACGGGGACTGAAACTGTACTCTTAACCATTGTGCAACAGGAAGTCAAAGTAGGTCCAAGAGCACATCCATTGGGGGGATAATGCAAGCAAGGCTCTTGGAGGACGTGCATCTTAAAGAATAGTCAGGCAGTCATAAGGGTGAGGGAGGAAGGTCATCCAGGTAAAGGGAACAACAAGAGTGAAGACACTAAGAGAGAAAAATGAAGAAGTAGCAAGTAGTGAAATTGTCTAGGTGTTGGGAATCCCAGAAAATAAAACTGAAAAAGTAGAGGAAGCAGGTCTGCCCTTCAAAGAACTTGAACTTGCACAGAATGTTGTAGACAGAGCCCATGATTCTGGGACCCCAAAGGGGCTATGTGGTTTTGGCAAGAGGCACCAAACTTTACATACAAGTGCAAAAAAACACGTCTTGAACACACATAGACTACTATTTTTCTAATATATTTGGATGCTTTTGTGACTGATAAAATAGAAATTCATGGGCCGGCCCCGTGGCTTAGCAGTTAAGTGCGCGCGCTCCGCTGCTGGGTTCGGATTCCGGGCGCGCACCAACGCACCACTTCTCCAGCCATGCTGAGGCCGCGTCCCACATACAGCAACTAGAAGGATGTGCAGCTATGACATACAACTATCTACTGGGGCTTTGGGGGGAAAAATAAATAAATTAAAAAAAAAAAATTTGGGCCGGCCCCGTGGCTTAGCGGTTAAGTGCGTGTGCTCCGATGCAGGCGGCCCGGGTTCGGATCCCGGGCGTGCACAGACGCACCGCTTCTCCGGCCATGCTGAGGCCGCGTCCCACATACAGCAACTAGAAGAATGTGCAACTATGACATACAACTATCGCCTGGGGCTTTAGGGGAAAAATAAATAAATAAAAAAAAAAATTAAAAAAAAAAATTAAAAAACAAAAATAGAAATTGATTTAAGAGAGTGAGTGAATTCATGACCACCCCCCCTCCCACCCCATATTCTCAAACAGTGGAGACCAAAGCATAGCTGCTCTCAGGAGAGGAGTCCCCTCTTTGCAAAGAGTTAAAACTTCTGCTTTGCTTCAATCTCTTTTACAGATAACCAAATAAGGCTGTGGTTAAGAGCTTTGCTGAAGACAGACGTGGATTTGAATCCTAACTCACTACTTACCAGCTAAGTAACTTTGGGCAAGTCAAAGCCTGTCTCAACCTTTGTTTTTTTTTTAACTTGTAAAAGAAGGATAACAATACCTATCTTGTTTTTTGTTTGTTTTTTTTTGTGAGGAGGACTACCCCTGAGCTAACATCCGATGCCAATCCTCCTCTTTTTTGCTGAAGATTGGCCCTGGGCTAATACCCGTGCCTATCTTCCTCTACTTTATATGGGATGCTGCCACAGCATGGCTTAACAAGCGGTGCGGTGATCCGCGCCCAGGATCCCAACCTGCGAAACTCAGGCGGCTGAAGCGGAGAGCGCACACTTAACCGCTACACCACCGGGCCGGCCCCTACAATACCTATCTCAAAGGACATTTCCATGAGATAATTAAGTGTAGCACTTAAAAATGTGTTTGATATACAATACAAGGAAAGTTGCTATTATTAGTGAGGCACCGAGGTACTGAGTGAATTACAAAAGGTAAAGGTTAATGGCAGAGAGGGAACTAGAACCCAGATGTCCTGACTCCCAGATCAGTGTTTGTTCCAAGTTTCTCTGTGCCATCTAGAGTCCAATGCGATCTACTCCCACGGCAATGGCCTGCCTAACTCCTGGCACTCACCTACCTTAAAGAGGTGCGGGTGCTTAATGTAGATTCTCCCTCTGGTGCCCCCCATTCCCAGGGCCCTGAAAAGTAACAGAGAGCGGTGAGGAATCCAGCAGTTGCAGTCCTAGTGGTAGACCCCTAAGCTTCCCCCACTTCAGCACCAAAGCTCTGAGACTTACTTGTTGGCTCGAGATCCCAACACAAAGGTGGTAGATTCATTCAGCCGAGCTGGGTCCCACTATGCAAAAAACAGAACAGCTGATGAGGGTGAGGTTTATCTGGTGGGGAGGACAGAAACACTCCTCCCTCTGCCCTCTCCTACCCCACCCTCATCCGTTATTCAATAAATCTTGATTCAAGAAATCAAGTATTTACAATATTATAGGCCCTGTGCTAGATACTGGAGATAAAGAGATGAATAAGATACAGTCTCTGTTCTCCAGGGGGCCACAGATGTAGGTACAGATAATTACACCGTCATGAGATGGGCAATGGTACAGATGAGTGCCGGGCGAGGGAGGTGCCAAAGGAAGGCTTCCTTGAAGAAGTTAATTCCCAAGTTAATTCTGATAGGGTGAGCACAAGTGAGACATGGTAGAGGCGAGGAAGAAGGCGTGGCGAGAACAAAGGCAGGTGAGCATTGGCTTGGCATGTTGGAGAAACTACAAGCAATTCTGTTTTGCAAAAGGAGAGAGCACAAATTAGGGAGCGGCATTGATGAGGCTGGAGAGAGAAGCAGAGAGGGGCTGGAGGCCACTAGTGCATTTCGTTTAGGGGTTTGCACTTTATTTATTCTGTAGGCCGTGGGGAGTCATTGAGGGCCTCTAAACAGGGAGAGCCAGATTTGCTTTAAAGATAGCTCACTCTTCTGAATGTGGCTAATGGATTTGAAGTGGCAAGATTACAGACAGGGAGAGCAGTTTAGAGGTTGCTGGAATAAAGCATTCTTGAGAGAAGATGAGGGTCTGAGCTAGCATAGCAGTAAGGATGAAGAGAAGGAATAGGAACTCTGCTACATTTAGGAGGTAGAATAATTCCAGGATTTCACTGGCTGTAGACAGGGGACGGAAAGGAAGAAGCAAAGATGAGTAAGTAGAGACCGTAAAAGAAGGTCTATGAGGAAAGATTCTGATTTCAATTTTGGATATGCTGAGTTTGAAATACATGAAAATTCCAGGCAGAGAGGTCTAGCAGACAGTAGGATATACAAGTTTTAAACTAGAAGGAGGTATGGGACGAACAAAGAGGTATGGGAACTTTAGCACGTACTGGTCCTTGAAACCACAAGAGTGGATGATGTAGATCACCCAGAGAGAAACTTTAGGTGGAGAAGTGGGCCAGAGAGAGTATTCTGGGGAATGCCCATTTACATGGGTCACTGCTGAGGAAGAACTTATAAAAGAGAGAAGGGATGTTTACAGGGGAACAGAAAGATCCAGGAGAATGCAGGATGACCCGCTCTAAGGGAGCAGAGTTTAAGAAGAAAGGTGTGGTCACCAGTGAAAAAGCAGAAAGGGCCAGTAAGAAAAAAGGTAGACCATTTCTCCTGGACACAGCCTCAACCAGGACCGTGGAGCTTTTACCTACCTTACTGGGCTTCCATATCTGATTTTATTTGAAGAAAGGATTCTATTGCTAAAAGAGCTTGCAAACAACTGTTTTGGAGGCAACAGAGGCTAATGGTTAAGAGCACAGACTCCGGTGTCAATAGACCCTGGGTTTGAAACTTGGCTCTACCACTTACTAGGTATGTGACTTTGGGCAACTCTCTAAGCCTTAGCGTGCTCAGGCGTATTAAGCCTATAAGATAACTAGATAAAATAAGGTACTTTCTGCCTACAAGGGAGTTGGTAGGAAACAAAGCTCCTCAACTATAGAAGGGTAACAGAATCTTTCGCATAAGGTTGTTATAAAGATTAAATGAGATAATCCATACAAAAGATTTAGGACAGTGCCTGTCACGTATTAAATACCGAATAAGTGACCACTAGCTTTTGCGAGGAGAAAGCTTCAGCAAAGACTCAAGCCCTCTCTTTGCTTTGCCCCTAATTCCAATCCCTACTTGGGATCCTTCTAGGAGGCCAGCGTGGGGATGGGGGGTGGGGGGCAGGGGACGGGGAGAGATGGCTCTGGAATGGCGTGCCCACATCCTTCACCACCCCCAGCCCTTTCCCTCATGGTGGGCCCCAGAGCCTTGACTGAGTCTCCCTGGGATAGCGGTCACTGCCACGCTCACATAATCATACCTTAGGGCCTTCTCGGCGAATTGGTTCACAGGATTTTGGTTTCCATCTGATTGGAAGGAAAGAAGCAAGTGAATTCTCCAAGGTCAGGCCTAGGACTGGAAGAGCATATGCGATCTCCGCATATGCTCTCACTTGAGCCCTGGGCGTACTTCTTCCTGGTAACCCGGCAGAGGAGGTACATAGCAAAAAAAGCCCTGGGCTAGAAGCCATTCTAGGACTAGCTCTGATATTACCTAGCCACATGGGCAAGTCCAGGAACCTCTCTCAGTTGTAGTTTTCTCATCTGTCAAAAGGAGAAAATGGCAGCATCTGCCTTACCTATCCTGTGTCTGTGAGAAATGAACTTGCTCCACGCAGGAGATAAATCTAAGGTACGATGATTAATACTATTCCATCTCCTGAGCCAATGGTTTCAAACTACCCCCATCCCTCTTAACCAGACCAGTTTGGCTTATCTGCTTTATATATTGGGCTTCCATGTAAAGTTTTGTTTGAAAAAAAGATTCTGTTGCTTAAAAATCTTTGAAAATGACCATCCTGGAGGCAATGTAGTCGAGTTTTGCCCCTTATTGGCTGTATGACCTTGGGCAAGTAATTCTTTGAGTCTGTTTCCTTATCTGCAAAATTAATTATATCTTCATTAGAGGGTGGCTGTAAGGATTAAAAGGTGAAGTATGTAAGTTGTTTAGACCAGTTACAGCACATTATAAACATTCAATAGATACTGTATTGACAATAAAAAACCTCTGGTATTTAATCACTCTGGGCTGAACTGTTCTGGGGCAAAAACAGGCTAAACCAACCTCCTCTCGCTGCCTTCTTTGCCCACCCTCAAACCAGGGTAACACTTCTCTGTGGGCACTTAAACAGATGGATCTGATTTCACCAGGCACAGAACTCTGGCCGCTTTTCCTCCAGGCCCACACCCTCCCTTCTCCTCCCTTCGGCTCTGCTGGCCCCTACTCACACCATGCCGGCGGCTCCCCGGTCATTTGACAGGACGTGTCCAGGAGGCCGTCCCTTCCTCTGCCACAAAGAACAGCTGTCAGAGGCCTGACCCTGTGGGAAGCCCCACCCCACTCCATCCCATTGGCAGGTCCAGGGTCCCTGGTGGAGATGATTTTCCAAAGAGACCAAATGATGCTTGAGAGTAATAGGGAGAGTGACTGTTTCCAGGGTTCCTGCCTCTCATGCTAGAAAGGCTCAAAGGTGCACTGAGGAAGCCTATTATCTTCTTTTGGAGCTGCAGGGCCTTTTCTCTGCCATAAAATGAGGAGATGGCTTACCTTTTTGGGAATGGGGCTTCCTCGATGGGCACATTCCTCCTCTGTCTGCCGGCCACGCTGGAGGAGAAGGGCAGGGAGTCAGTGGAAGGCCAGTAATTGGGAGCTGCAGGTCTCCTGGGGTTGCAGAAGACAGAGCCCTGGGACTACCCACTCCAGCCCCTCCCTGAGCCAGGCCTCAGAAGCCCTCCTACCATGATGCTGTTTGGATCTGCTCCCACAAATGGATGGTATGTGAGACCTCCCTGGGCCCACAGAGTTCACCTGCCTCCCGACCTGATTGGTCTCCCCCTCCAATACCCCAGGACACAGTGACTCTGACCTTTATCCCTGGAAGCTCATGAGTCAATCTGGGTATTACTTTTTCTCCATCTGAAAACAGTAGTTTAGCCTGAAGGGAAAAGACCAAGTGTTAACAGTCACTATTTTGGTGCATAAGGCTCTCTGCTTCCATTTTTATAAACACAACTCCAAACTGGTTTAAAACTTTTTCATGGTCAGTACAAAGGCACCCCAAGATATGCATATAAATAGATATCTAATTTTTAAAAAATGGGAGTAATTAATGGTCATTGCTGAAAAATTAGAAAATGTAAACAAGCAAATAAAAAAATCAAACCTGAAATCTCAGTACCTACAGAATACTGTTAATATTTCAATGTGAATTCTTCATTACTTTTTTCCACGTACATATATACTATATATTTTTCCTAAGTAAATGCATTAATATAATACATATTCCTCAGTAAGCTGCTGATCTTCATTTAATAAATATCAAGTACCTAGTGCATAAGTGTTGGGGACATAGCACTAAACAGCACAAGCAAGATCCCTGTTCTTGTGGAGCTTTCATTCTGTGGGCAAGCTGGATAATAAGCAAATAAATAAACATATAAACAAGGTAATTTTGGATCATGACAGATGTGGCAGAGAATTGCCAGAGGACTCCTTTAAGCAGGTGGTCAGGGAAGGACTTGCTGAGAAGGCAGCCTCGGAGCCGCGCTGTGAAGGAGAAGCGGCCAGCGATAAGAAAAAACTGCAGAGAAGCGTGGTTCAGCAGCACCGAAGAGCACAAAAGCCCTAAAGCGGGACCAGACTTGGCTCATTTGAAGAAGAAAAAGACGGCCTAGCAAGTGGTGGGCACAGGAGAGAGTGGTGAGCGAGCAGTGTGGTGAGGTTGGCAGGGGCCCTGGAGGCCATGCAGAGTTGTGTTCATGTGACCTCTGGGGCAGCACAGCCCTGAGCACTCCCTCTCTCTGCAAACACTCTTTTCCACTGGCTCCTTGGCCACACTTCCCTGGTTTTCCTTCTTCTTCTCTGGCAACTCTTTCTCAGCTTTTGCTGGTTCACCTTCCTCAGTCTGGTTCTTTTCATTCTATCCTCTTTCATTGGATATTCTACCTGCTTTCATCTATGCTCACAGCTTCAACTAACATCTCTAAACTGATGCCTCTGTAATTTTTATCTTCAGCTGTACCCTCTCCTTTGATCTCCAGATTTATATAACAAACAGTCTGCCCATGTCTATGCATGGATGTCTGAAATTTGCTAAGCCCCAAACTGAACTCATGATCTTCTCCTCCAAATGCTGTCCCTTTTCAGTGAAGAGTGCCCCAGTCCAGTGTGTAATTATGCACACGTCTGTGTGGTAATTTAACTCATACCTGTCTGCCTAACGAGGCTGTAAGTTCTGTGAGAGCAGGAACTTGTGTGTTCATTTGCCATTTGTTCGTTCGTTTGTTTATTCATTCATTCATTCATTCACTCGATCATTCAACAGTGTACACATAGTAAGAGTCACATTCTAGGGCTAGGAACACAGCAGTGAACAACATCAGGCCTCAACTCTTGCAAAACTCAAGATTTTAGCAGAGGTGGGGGTGGGAGGGAGGCATAAAATAAACAAATGAACTATTAATAATTCCAGATTGAAATAAATGGTGGAAATAAACAAGTAAGGTGATAGAAATTAACTGGAGATGGGAAAGGGAGCCAGATGGCAGGGCTACTTTAGATGGAGGGCCAGGAGAGGCCTTTCTGATGAGGCCATATTTAAGCTAAATCTGAAGAAAAGAAGGAGCCAGCTATGTAAAGAGTTAAGGGTAGAGCATGCCAGGCAGTGAGAACAGCAAGTGCAAAGGCCCTGAGCTTGGTGTGTGGAGAAGCAGAAAAGTATTCCAGTCCAGCTAGAATATAGTCAATACGTGGGAGGTGGGATGAGACGAAGTTAAAGAAATAGGCAGGAGCCAGTCCAGGTAAGGCTCTGTGGGTCATGGTGAGGCACTAGCGTTTTGTTCTGCCTGCAATGTGAAGTCACTGAAGGGTTTTAAAGAGGAGAGTGACACAGTCCAATTGATCTTTAAAAAGAAGGGTCTGGCTGCTGTGAGAATGGACTGGAGGAAGGCAAGAGGGGAAGTAGCTCAGGGCTGTGATACACATTTGGGAATCATTAGCAGTTAAACTGGCTTCAAAGCCACAGGACTAGGTGAAATCAGCTAGAATGAGAGTGAGAAACAGAAGAGAAGAGGTCTGAGGACTGAACTTGTGAATGCACCAACAGTCAAAGCACTCGAGCCAAGAGAGGAGCGTTCCAAGAAACATGAAATGACCCACTGCAACAAATGCCACAAAGAAGCTGAGTAAGCGACTGGAAGGATGTGCAGCTGTGACATACAACTATCTACTGGGGCTTTGGGGGGAAAAAAAATAAATAAATAAAATCTTAAAAAAAAAAAAAAAAAAAAGCTGAGTAAGCCGAGGACAGTTAGGGTCCACAGGATCTGACAACACGGAGGTTACTGGTGACCTGTGCAGAAACATACACAGGGAAAAGAAGGAAACACATCAAAATATTAACAGAAGTTATTGTTGGTAGTGAGATTATGAGAAATTTTAATTTTCTTCCTTATAATTTTTATTTTCTGATTTTAAGATAACACTAGCAGCAGGTAACACATTGAGTCTTTGTTACTCATCTAAATGCTCTAAGAGTAGCGCCACATTTAATCCTCACAACAATCCTATGAGAGAGAACCTCGACCCCCATTTTGCAGATATGAAAACAGAGGTTTAGGTATGTGAGGCAACTTGCTGAAGGTCACACAGCTTCTCAGTGGTAAAGCCAGGACTCACATCTAGGCAGTCTAAATCAAGAGAAAACTTGCCTTCTTAACCACTATGCCAAGTGTTTCTTAATGAATGTATATTACTTGTACAAATAAAATGAACAAATAAAAATAACTACTCCACAAAACACAATCAAACAAACAAAAAATCCAAGCAACATACTGTAGATAAGATCAGCCATTTCTCCCTAAGAAGCACCTGTAAAGGGGTAGCTAAGGAGATCAGGGAACACGACTGAGATGGTCAGGACGTGGTATCAGAAGTGAAAACAAGCAAATCAAGTCTTAACCCAACCCAAACTAAGAAAAAACCCTAGTCTAATCAAATCACATACAGTCTGAGGAGTCTTTTAATGCAATAAGAAGTTCTGCCTGCAGTTTAGACATGAGGACCCCAAAGAGCTTCCAAGTATCCTGGCCACCCGAAAGCTAGGCTCTGTTGTGAGGCAGCAATATGTATAATTGTGAATATAGCTACCATGAATTTAACATCTAGTATGTTCTGTGCTCTGCGTATTCACGCTGTGTGGTAGTTCACGTCTCTTATCCCATTCAAGCCTCACAGCAAACCACTGGTGGTGGGGAGTGGTCTTATTCTCAATTTTAGAGATGAGGAAATTGAAGGTCAGAAAGGTTAGAAGACTTGTTCAAAATTTCTTGATTTGTGTGGTTTCAGGTTGGATGAGGATGAAACTCTGGGCCTTCCTGTGCTCTGATTCCGTGTGCTCTGACCACAGACCCTTCTGTTCCCTACTCTGGCTTCCCACTTACATCAATATTGGAAAGGGGGAATTCGGAAGGTGGACATGGGGATTCAGGAGACTGGAAAGGTATAACCATTCATGGAGTTCAGGTTATGCCCAATTCACTCAACTTCATCTTCACCTTTCACTGGGACTCCTGAATAGTCTCATAAATTTCCCTTCCAATCTCCTTGGCAGCTTCCCAAACCAGTCTCCTCATGGCAGCCAGAGTGATCTTTCAAAACGCAAATCTCATTAGGCAGCTCTTCTGCTTAAAACTCCCCATCTATAATTTGGCTGGCAGTCCTGTGCTTGATCTGGTCTCTGCCTACTTCTCCGTCCTCATCATTCTCTCCCACCTCTGAAAACCAGCCACACTGGCTTCTTTCTGTCCCTTAGACATACTCCTACTCCCTTCTGCCTCTGGGCCCTGTACCCTCTAGTGTGCTCTCTCATTGCCTTCTATGCTTACAGCACTTCTAACAGTTTGTAGTTATAGATCTGCTATACGATTACTGGAGTAATGTCAGGGCTCGGGGGGTAAGGACAATGTCCATCCTGAACTGGGCACAGAGTAGGCTCTCAATACATATTAGTTAAAGAGATAAAAAAACTCAAGAAAGCATTTTGGGATGCAAGTGACACTGAAGGTTTTACCAATTTAATCTTGATTCAGCTCAAACTTATAAGAATATTATTAGCAAACTGTCATGTTTTATTATAAGCAAATGTTACAACTGGTTATAACACACTACAGTCCCAGAGTGTATTAATGAATTGGCCTCTTAATGAATTGGGTTAGCTTAAATTTAATAGTCTATGAGAACCAGATTGATCGGCTTTAACTGCACTGACAGGATGGAGTTCTGCCCTTTCAAAGCTGAGGTCCAGGCCCTTGTCTTGCTCTTTTCTGAGGCTGTGCCTGAGTAGCTAGTCAGCCAGCCTCCCAGAAGACGTTTCTCTCTCATCTCCTGATAATTACCCTCATAGGACTGAACTCAAACCAGCGCTGTGGCTCTGATTATGAAGAAATTTCCATCTCTGACAGCTAATGGTTTCACAGTCAAACACAGAATATGGGTGATGCTGACAATTCCTATTTTTTTTTTTTTTTTAAAGATTTTATTTATTTATTTTTTTCCCTCCAAAGCCCCAGTAGATTGTTGTACGTCATAGTTGCACATCCTTCTAGTTGCTGTATGTGGGACGCGGCCTCAGGATGGCCGGAGAAGCAGTGCGTCGGTGCGCGCCCGGGATCCGAACCCAGGCCGCCAGCAGCGGAGCGCGTGCACTTAACCGCTAAGCCACGGGGCCGGCCCGACAATTCCTATTAATAACAGCAGCTGACACAGGCAAACAGGTTCACTACTATCTTGGGAACATAGCCATTTATAAACCTGATGTCATGCCTCCTGACCACACCTTGAGAGGCAGAAAGGGTGACAGTCCCCATGATACCAAAAGAGCCTGTGACTACTTGAAGGATCAAGTCACAAGCACTTAGAGAGGAGAGACAGACCTTAGCTAGTCTAACTCTTCCTTGTTCTAAGCCACAATTTCTTCATCTGTAAACTAGGGATTAAAATATACCTTCAGTACAGGGTTTCTTCTGGGATGTAAATGACCTAATGCATGTGACAGCATCTATCCCAGTACCTGGCACATAGTAGCTACTTCTCTTCCCTCTGTCAGCAACAGCTCCAAGAACTATCTGGATGTAAGTGGCTTGTTGGGCATCCCCCAAAATACCACCGACGATGGGATCACATTTCTTAGCAGTGCCAGAGGGCTAAACCTTGTGCCTCTCAATACATATTAGTTAAAGAGATAAAACTCTTTCTCCTTTGGTCTAACCTGCTCCAGGCAGCTCCGACAGGCCTCCTGGATCAGCTGCTCTGCATCCACTTCTTCCCCGATGTTGTCTCGCACATTCAGTGCTGCCTTCTGGAAGAACTAGGGAGAAGTACAATAGAGGACAAGGTCAGAAGTCCTGCTAATTTGCATCAAGTTGAAGGAAACTGAATATAAAAGAGAAGCTCTTATCCTACCCTCATACAGAAGGGAAAAGTGATTATGAGCATGGCTTTGAGATCAGACAGATTTAATTTCATATCCCAGCCTCTATTTCCCCACTCTCTCCTCTCTTAAGGAGGAGGATAATCACGGAGGTGCCCAAAGGATGGTCATTACAGTGTTAATGTGTAAACAGTGCAAAATCAAAGAAAAACCTAAATCTCCAAGTATAACTTAAATAAATTATGGAATAATTTACCATAACTAATATACCATGAAGTAATATGCAAATATTAAAAATCACAGTAAGGATGGTATAGGAGAATATAGTTTTGATGTGAAAGGTATTCATGATATACTGCCAAGTGAAGGAGGCAAGTTATAAAATAGTTTGGCACAGTATGAGCCTATTTATATATAATAGCAAAAAGCAAACACAGAGAGACAAAAGAACTGTCAGAACATATATTAGAGTAACAGCGGCGATAGGGTGGATGACTGTTTTTATAATGTATGTGTACTACTTCTGTAGAAGAAAAAAAGAATGCCAGTGCCTGAGGTGAACAGGCCAGAGTAGGCCAGAAAAGATCCAGAGAGTAGAAGGCCCTAATTGAATTGTGACTTTGCCCAATCCGAAAGAAACAACGTGGGATGGGAGCAGTGAGATCTGGCCACAGCCCCAGGATACCAGCAGCTCCAATTGCATGGAGAAAGGGAAGCAGAAGGTTCCTGCACTGTGTAAGAGGGAGAGCTTGAACCTGAAAACACTGAGGGACAAGGTTATGTGAGGTCCCCAAACCAAGGCAATGAGAACACATTCATAACGAGAGTCCAAGTTGTGTCTCTAGAAGAAAGTGTTAGTTCTCTCTGGTGTAAAGAAAAGTTCTGGAACCTATAACCAGTGCTCCTACTGTGGGAGAAACTATGGGAATGTACTGTCATTTTATATTTAGCAAGGTCAAATGCCTTTGTGGTTAACATCAAACCAAGGAGAAGAGGGTGAAAGCATTGGATTAGAGACCTCAAGAGTTTAGGAGGAAAATTCTTCAGGCCAAATTAAATGGAATGATCAGATGAGTTTGACTTTAAAACAAAAAACTAAAAACTGGAGATTAATACTGGTGTTCAGCGTTGACTACTGGCTAAGTGAAAGCTAGCTGAAATAATGATTTGGATACTTTACAACCAGTTTGTGAGGTGGGGAGTGCAATGAATATATAGGGGTGAGTGTAAGCTACCTCTGGACCTGAGAACGAAATCCAGTCATGAATAAGGCATTCTCAAACACTACTGCTAAAAATGAAAAAAGGCACAACCTTTCTGGAGAGAAATTTTCTCAAGGGAAAGGTATGTTTTCCCTTTTACCCACCAGTTCCATCTCTAGGAATTTGTCCCCTAGAAATACTCTCACAAGTGAACAAAGATATACATTTAAAGTGTTCAGTGTAGCACTGTCTGTAACAGAGAAAAACCGGAAACAATCCGAATGTTCTAGTGACTAACTGCGGTACAACCATATAATAGATTACTCTGCAATTATTACAAAAGAATCAAGGTGAGCTTTTATGTACTGACCTAGAAACATGACCAAAATATATCGTTAAATGAAAAAACTGAGTTGCAGAACAGGGCAGGTAAACTGATCCTATGTATTTTTTTAAACATGCATATGCGCGCGCGCGCACACACACACACACACAAATAAATATGGGTGACTATGTAGTCACTGTTAACAGTTTGGTATCTCTGGGAGATGAGTTTTAGTGACTTCTGGTTTTTACTTTTTAGAATATCCATATTCTTTTTTCCCAATATTTTCTTATGAAAAATTTCATACAGACAAGTTGAATTATTCAATGAATATCTAATACCTACCACCTAGAGTCTATAATTAACATTTCGCTATATTTGCTATCACATATCCATTTACCCATCCCTGTATCCGTCCATCAATCCATTTTATAAGCTATATTATTAGAACATTTTTTTTAAAAAGGTGCATGCATTTAGTAATCACAGAAATAAATAATAAAGATTAACAATGTCTTGGATAAGATCAGCTGTATGTAGAAGTTATTATCCTAAACATTTTTAAGAAAATGGGTAGCTGAGATTTGGGAACGTCATCAAACCAAGTGAAAAGATGAGGTCGATCAAGAGTGTGAACTTATCTGAAGCTGTGATGTAATCACATCATTTGTACCTTGTCTGAAAACAAGTGTGATAAGGAAGTATCTTCAGAGTAAATAAGAGGGGAGCCCAGAGCCACAAATTGTGTTTCTCCAGCATTTTTCCAGGCAAGAAAGTTCCTGAATCATGGTATCCACTATTGGAACAAGCAACAAGAAAAGGGCTTTGGAGGCAGACAATCTTGGATTGAATTCTGACCTAGCCTTTTCCTAGTGGCTTAACCTCTTTATTTCCGCATATGTAAAGGTGTGGAGGTATGAGAATACATGGTGCATTCTGGGATATGCAAAAATTAGGGGCAGTAATAACATGGTATACAGGGGGGTGTGGCTGGGGTCTGATTACAGTGCGCCACATATGCCACGTTAAGGAATTTGGATTTTACCCAGAAGGCAATGGAAAGTCGCTGAGGGATTTTAAATAGGGAAGTGACACTGTTGGATTTACATTTTAGAGATCACTGGCAGCTGTATGGAGGGTGGGTTGAAGGAGGGAAAGAGTAGAGGCAGTTAGGGATTTAGTAGGAGCCTAGGTGAGAAATAACAAAGGTCTGAACCAAGGCAGAGGCAAGGAAGAAGAGCATGCTTGACGGATTGTGAAGTGGAATGTACACGTCTCCACAATTGCATATGGAAGATGAAGGAGAAGGCAGAGACCCCTGGTTTCTAAGTGAATGGTGATCCCATTCAAACTTAACATGTCCAAAACTGAGCTCCTGATTTCCCCTGCTTGTTTCTGTCTTCTGCATCTCAAGTCAATGGCAATTCAATTTTTACAGCTTCCCAGGGCAAATAACCTGGGAATCGTTTACTTCTTTTTCTTTTACCCTGCCCATGAGAAACACCGGCAAATCTTCTTGCTGCCTTTGAAATACATACAGATTCTCTTTCCCAACATCTTTACTACTAACACCCAAGCCACCTAATAGGCCTCCTGCGGTCAGAGTCACCCTTTAAAAATGTTCCGATCTGCTCAAAACTCTCCAAGAGCCCCTATTTTACCCATAATAAAACCCAAAGTCCTTACCATGGCTCCAAAGGTTCTGCATGAGCTGGGCCCTTGTTACATCTCTGATCACCTCTCCCACCACTTTCCTTCTTGCTCAGTGGGCTCCAGCCCCAGTAGCCACTTTGTTGCTTTGAATGTGCCAAGCACACTCCAGCCTCAGGGCCTTTGCCCTTGTTCTCTCCGCCTGGACTGCTCTTCCCCCAGGTATCTGCCTGCCTTGTTCTTTCCTTACTTTATTCAGGTCTCTGCTCAAATATCCTCTTATCAGAGGGCTTTCCTAGCCGCAATCTATGAAATAGTACCCTGTTCCCCACTGGACACTCTCTTCCCCTTCTCTCTGGCATTCCCTAACACAGTACATGTTTGTTTAAAGAGGGCAAGGGCTGGGCCGGCTCCGTGGCTTAGCGGTTAAGTGTGCGCGCTCTGATGCTGGCGGCCCGGGTTCGGATCCCGGGAGCGCCCCGAGGCACCACTTCTCCGTCCAACGTGAGGCCGAGTCCCACGTACAGCAACTAGAAGGATGTGAACCTATGACATACAACTATCTACTGGGGCTTTGGGGGGAAAAACTGAATAAATAAAATCTTTAAAGAGGGCAAGGACATTGTTCATTTTGTTCACAGCTACACCCCCAGTGCCTAGAACGGTGCCTGCCATTATGGTAGGCACTCAGCAAATACTTCTTGAATGAATAAATAAACACAAGAGGAGGAGGTTTACGAAGAAAAACAGTTTAGTTCTGAAAATGCTGGGTTTGAAGCAACCATGGGACATTCAGGTAAAGCCATGTAGAAGTTTATTTAGAGGCCTAGAAAAGAATTTTAAATAACAGTAATAATGGTGATATTATTAAACAAGTAATAAAAGTAGTTGCTATGTTCCAAGCACAGTGCTGAGCACATTAAGTCACTTCATCCTCACGATAGCTGAGCAAAAGAGGCATTCAAATTACCCCCAAAGAGGGCAAAAAGTTCTCAGGGGTTCAGAATTGGAAAACTTTAGACATCTGTGCATACTAGAGAGACCCGGGGAGACTGTGATGCC